GTCTTCAGCAAGAATCCTGTTAGGTTAATTTAGCCAGAATCTCCCTTCTCCTCTTAATAATTTTCTACCACCGAGGACCCCCTGGTGCTTGGCTATGTATTCCCACTTGCCCATGCTATATTTGGAACTGAGCCCAGTTCTTATACTGATAAGTCTTTTTCCCTATTGCAATAATCCTGAATAAAATCTGTTTTACCACGTTACTATCCAGCTCTGGTTTTCTTTGACATAGAATATATATATATATATATATATATACACACACACACACACATATATATATATATATATATTTTTTTTTTTTTTTGCAGAGGTCTATTATCTTTTTATTTTTACGTCCACTTTCCCTTGCACTTAGTAGTTCCTTAGTAATGTTTTTTGAATGAATGAGTAATAGCTAGTGTGAACCCCTTCTAGATTTTCATGAATCTTTGATATTTTTAATACATGTGCCCTTCTCATTTTTTGTACCCAGCAACAGTTGCTTTTTGTTATTAGGAACCTAAGAACAGACCCTTGGGTGTGTTTATATATGACTTTTATTCCTTACTGAAAGTTGGGCCATCTTATTAACATTAATTGATTACTAAAGAAATAATTGCATTATAACCAGGTCTAAAGAACTGACTCTTTGGACCTCAGTAACAGATTCCATTTTTATTTTATTTTATTCATTTTATTATTTTATTATTATTTTTTAATCCTCACCCAAGGACATGTTTCCATTGATTTTTAGAGAGAATGGAAGAGAGAGGGAAAGACAGAGAAATATTGATGTGAAAGAAACACAGTGATTGGTTGCCTCCTATACCAGTCCCAACCAGGGCCCCACCAGGAGCGTAGGCTGGGGAAAAGCCTGCAACCCAGATAACATGACCTTGACTGGAATCAAACCCAGGACCCTTCAGGCTGATTCTGTATCCATTGAGCCAAACTGGCTAGGGCTCCATATTTATTTTATTTTAAAAATACAAAACAAAGGGAGAGAGAGAGATACACATATGCACAATAGAGAGAGAGTTTTTTTATTTGTATATTGACCATTTTAGATTATACTTCTGGCTGTGACAAAATTATTTAACATAGGTTTAAGAAATTATCCCAGTTATTAAAAATCATTCTCTAAATCTTGGGATTTCTTCAGTTCCCTCCTAGCATTCTGATAACTTGTATTTTTTTAAGTAAATACTAATTTTTATCATTTATGCATTCTGCTGCTGCTTGAGTATTTGAGCCTTTTCCTTGGCAGACTTGGCCTGTTTTTTTTCTGTTCTAAGATCTCTACTTCCCTTAGGAGATATCTCTAAATATAAGATGTCCCCCAAAAAAATGAATGCACACACTTTGAATAATTATAAAAGGCAGTGTTTATTAAAATATATTTCATTTTCAAAATTGAGCTGTCAGCTGTTAAAGTGTATCTACATTTTTGGGGGACACCCTATATATTTCCTTTGCCTATTATTTATTGCTTAGTTCTATAACATGCTTGCGTTTCACCCTGAAAATCAAGAAGCATATTATGGATGTGAGTGCCATGGCCAGACACATGACCTACTTGTCAAACAGTACAGTTACAAATGAACTGAGTTAAATTTTAGTGAATGGCAACCTGATTATTGATTTCACTTTTTCTCTCAGTCTGTTTATACTGTAGAAATGCTTTTTTGTTTTTGAGAGGGTATCAGTTTGACCTCATAACTAGAGATTTTTTAAAAGTCTGAAGTAGAAATAAGCAATGTCATTCATTGTATATAGCAATTGATGCAACAGACTGGGAATGGAGGAGAAATTATTTTTGTTTTGTTATTTAAATTTTTCGTTTTTTATTCATTTTATCATTAATTTTTAATCCTCACCTTGCTTTTACTGATTTTGGAGAGGAAGGAAGGGGCGGGGGGGGGGGGGGGGGGGAGGAGAAACATCCATGTGAAAATAAAACATCAACCAGATGCCTCCTATTCACACCCCAACTAGGAATGAATCCTGCAGCCTAGGCATGTGCCCTGACTAGGAATCAAACCTTTTGATGTACAGGGTAATGTTCCAGCCAACTGAGCCACACTAGCCAGGGCTAAAAAGTAAGTCTTGTTGATTTGAGAGAGAGTGAGGAAGAGAGAGAAACATCGATACGAGAGAAATTTGAGAGAGAAACATTGATCGGTTGACCATAATGAACCTGCAACCTGGCATGTGCCCTGACCAGCAATTGAACTGATCTGCATGGGCCAGGAAATTTTTTTTTTTAATATAAGCTAGAAATTTCTTAAAGTAATGTGACCGATCATTATTGTTGCTAAATATTTAATATTTTAAAAAGATAAATCATTTTAAAGTGAAAAGCAAGAATGATGAAAAAGAAAAGGGGCAAGAGATTGAGAGAATGATTTAAGAATAATTTGTGGGTACTTAAAGCGGGCCTCTTTCCTCCCATTTTGATCTCCTTTTGGTGAAAATGGCAAACAAAAGCCAGCAAATAAGGAAGGAAGCCGGAAATCCTAGTTAGGGGCTGTCAGATTAGAATATTTAAGTCTTAAAAATGCATGCTTCTGTTACATTTTAATGCTTTCCCTCCCCCCAACTTGGATTTGCTTCCCTTTAAATTGCTTTAAAAAGTTATGGTTTTTCATCTCTATTTCCTTGTAAAGAGTCAATTACATAAAATTTGGAAGGCATATACAGTATTATAATGTGATTGTGAAAAACCAGGTAAATTTTTGAATTTTGTGATTAGGAGGAAACCATTCTAGAATTTATTTCATTACTTCCTATGCCAGCACTGCCCCACTCCTCAACCAGGACTCTCTTCCTCCTCTAGGTATAAAACTGAAAAACAAAAACCAAAAAACAACCCAGCCTCAAATAACAAAACTAAGATAAAAAATAAGGAATCTTGTCTGGTCCTGATATCTTCTCTATTCCTTGTAATTTATTACTTCCTGACTGAAAATATGTTAGAGAACCTTGTTGAGATAAAAATCTCATTTTTGTGATTATATTCAGAAAGCAGGTTCTGGGATTAGGAAGCGAAATTATCTCCAGCACAGCAGTTGTAGGATTTTTTCCAGAGATAAATGGCTTTTCAGAAATACTCTGAATTTTCAGTCATAATGACCTTGGTCTTTGCATTTATTTGTTGTTTTTTTTTGTACTATGTTGTAGTTCCAGAAAGTGCTAAAAAACCATCATGTATTTAAAACAAACAAATAAACCAGAAAAAAATCCCCTGTCCTGAGGCTGTGTGAAGAAAAATAAAGCTCTCATTTTCCCAGTACCCAATCATCAGCTTGAGCTGGCCTCTCAGGAACACAATTTATTGAAGCAATTTATCCTGGCTAAATGCGATATAAATCTGTGTACACCTATGTACACGCGAGCTCTCTTCCATTACAGCAATAATGCCGCGGCACCAGCTTCCTCATAGTTAGACCCTGTTCCTGTCACACTGAAAGGTGACTAAGAAGCCCTTTCTGTTTTACAGACACCCCACAATTTTAAACACCGATCTGTTGTGGAATTACTGATCAGACTACCAGAAATACTGTTTTTCCAACCCCAGAGTGAGTCCTAAGAGAGTTGAAGAAGCGTTGTTACCTAGCTACCCTCCGAGTTTTAAGCATGGTATTCTGATTTCCGTCCGGATCTAGTCTAGCACTTTCATATTTTATTTTAACGCAGGCCTGACTGAGGTTAACCTGACATTTTGGTTTGTCTCCAAGATAAAAATGTGAAGTTTGGTTATAATTCTGAAGGCATATTCAAATTTTAGTTCTTTCTCTTCCACCTTCTCTTGTTCATATTTCTTCACATACCTTTCTCTCTTAGAGAAGGACGTTTGAAAATGTCCTTTAAGAGATTATCGTATAAAGACTGTTTTTATGTCCCTCTCTCCCCCTGCCCACCTTTTCAAAGTACTGCTTTATTTATTCTTTTATATTTCTCATTTTTGTTCACCTCCACCTCTATTCTTATTCCTAGGAGAGAGAGGAAAAATTCCCCCTGCACATTCGTATTGGAATTATTGTTCTTTGACAAAGAATTTCTATCAGCATTGCAAGAGTTAGCTTCAATAATTAAAAAACAACAACAATATAAACCCTGTTAAATTCTTTAGAGAAATAGAGAGGATGGATGGGATGCCTTTTAGTGCCATTTCTTTATCCCCTGCAGCAGCACACATCTGCTGGCTGCTACCGATCAGCCCAGGAACTCTGGCCGAGAGCAGCACAAACAGCCGGAACATATTCACCCAGTAAACCCCCAAAGAGTCGACATTTGTTTTATTGCTGCTTTTAAAAACCTAGCCATAAATAGAATCAGAGGGGGAAGGGCACCGATATTTCTCCATTTGCCACAGACTATTGGTGGGGGGAGAAGGAGGCTCCCTGTGGGGAGAGGAGGTTTTTATTTTTATTTTTTATTAATGAAAATTATTTCCCGTGTAGCCCAATAGGATGGGTGCTTTGTTTTCTTTGGCAATAATCTGGGATAAACGGCCCTTGCCAACCGTCTACTAGTTTATACACCAGGGAGCCAGATTATAGCCCTGTAAAATGGAGCACCCCTCCTATAATCCCTTAATTAATTAAATGACAAATTTTGGTCTTCTCTAGTTCAGAAATATGGCTTCCGCATCGAGCGTTCCGTGGATTTATTGACATAGGGAACGGCACTGGTTGTAATTCAGCAGACTGGAGAAGTGTGTTATATACTGTAGCAGAAAGAGGGAAAATCTAGCAAAAAAGGTTTGAAATTCCTTGCCTATTTAGTTCTAAATTTTTCTAATTAAAAGTTTTAATTGAGGCACAGTAGATCATATGCCACCTGTCTAATGTGTCTCCCCTAAGTAGCCTGTGTTTACAGCTTTGATAGATGGCATTCTTGGAGCACCTGTTTCTAGGGTTGATATTTTTGAAGCACTTTTTTTTAAAACTCCAGCATATTTAACATAACTTTCCCCCCTACCTCCTCCTCCTCAGCTCGGCTCTGCTATATGAAATATGGGAGACGACAGACCGTTTGTGTGCAATGCCCCGGGCTGTGGACAGGTACGTTTACAATATACTTTATTGTGAATGTCTCGTTGTGAATCAAAGTGGCTGTTTTATCACTAAGGCAAAGAGTTTAAAGCCGGTATTTTACGTGATCACTGGAGGTAATCAGATCAGAGGATTTGCAGTGTGTAAATCCAAGTTATGAGGAAGTGTAGGCACTCTACCGTAATGAAATCTGCCTTTCTCTCTTTCGTATTGTTATTCTACTGGTGTTTGTTTCCCAACACCGTGTTGAGGAATACACGTTGCTCTCTCTCCTTTCTAAACCTATCCATCTAAATACAAAGCCAAGCTTTGAAATATCTTCTCCTCAACATTCATGGATATAAAAGTCAGTTTAATATATTTGGATAGGCTGCTGAGAACGCATCCATTCATTGTTAACCCCAATTTACCAGAGTCTATTTGGATTTTTTTAATATGAAAAAAAAACACACGTTTCTTTTGATTTTGATTCAGAAAATCACTGTCAGCTGCTATGGCATATATCTAAGAAAGACAAATCCAACATAGAACCTGAGATCCCATAGCAATATATAAGCTGCAAGACTTCTCAGCCATTTTCCCTGCTGCCATGTTATTGTTTGTGGATGTGTATATCATGTGTCAGATGTTTTTCATCATATGCTTTTTTAATAAAGTAATTTTTTGAAATTGCCCTTTTCCCCCCATTTTGTACTTTCTTGACTCTTCTTCCTATACCCTCCCCTATTTCTGTGTCCCGCAAAGGATGAATAAAGGAATACAAAGAAAGTTTTCTCTGTCTTCATGAATTGATTTTATGGATCCTGAAGGGTTGAATTTCTGTTCAGTTAGAAATAAGTCATGTGACTGTCCAGTGACACTTACTGGTGGTATGTGAGATTGCAGACTAGTTCTATTAAACATTGTAAATACTTCGACAAAAAAAAGGGAGCGATAAGTTCCAGAGATTCCTAAGAATTGGAATTTGAGAGGTGGATGAGATGGGAATGGTGACAAGGAATAGGCAGAGGTTGATTTCAAATTCTAGGAAATGCTGAAATTTTCAGAAAAGACTGAAAAAGCATTGAATTTTGAAGTTCTCAGCATTGTAGGGTGTATTTCCTTCCTTGTCAAAGTTTTCGGCTATATTGTTGACTGCATGTTTTCTCCATGTGGTTTTTACTTTTTTTTTTTTTTCCAACAATAGAAGCCACTTGGGGATATAGAGTAAATTTGTTTCACTTTTCAGACATCTGTATTGAAGTACATATCTGAACCTGATTCCTCCAAAATTTTGTGTGAATTTATTGCTAAAAGTATTTAATGTGACTCCCATAATTGATACCTGGTACTTTTTTCACTTTTCTTCTTTAAAAATTTACATTTTTGGTAAAAATATGTATTTTTCTCATATGTACATTTATTTTTATTCACTTATTATTTAAGCCACTCTGTGCCTATAATCTCTCTTATGTTTTGTATCTAAAACCATCCAGACAAGGACTTAAAGAAATAAAAATGGATGATAAAAATAAAGGGACACACAGGAAAAGCATCTCTTAAGCTCTCTGAGGATGAAAGTTCTGAATAATGTTTCTTCAAGCTATCTTATCAGAAAAGGGTAGTTTTCACTGAAATTGGAGAGCTGGAAGTTTTTTTTATTTTATTTTATTTTTTTGTGGGGTTGTGTTGTGTGTTGTTTTTTTGTTTTGTTTTTTTTCATTTGGACTAGAGGTAAGAAATCAAGGTACTTTTCACTTTGGTTTCTTAACATTGTTGAGTTGTTTACCATAAGCCTTTTTCTTCACCTATTACTTCTTCCTGTTTCTGAGTTGTTTGTTGGTATTTTGATTGTTAGGATTAATGATAAACTCTGGTGTAGGTCTTGAAGACTTATCCCCTCAGTAGTGCAGAACTTCGGGAGATGGTGCATTCTTTTGCAAGTCACTTACTTGTTTCATAGAAAAAAGATAGAAAGTTACAACTTAAGGCTTTGAAGGTAGCCAGATTTTTTTTACCTTCTTGCATGCTAAAACTTTATGGTCAGGTGAAAGTGTAGTTCTTTAGTTGTATTTTAGTCTTCTTCCAAGTTTTTCCCAATATCTGGTAACAAATAACTATAGAGTGGGATCCCTGCAAGATTTACTGCTATTATGAAATAGTGAAAATCTAGCGGAGAAGATAAATTTGGTACAGTGAACTACCCTTGGCCTGTCATCCTTGGAAATGGTTTCATTCTGGAGACACCTAGAGGCCTTGAAGCTATTTATAGACCTTTGTCATTGATTCAAATTCTTTATTCCAGAAATAGTAAAATAATAAAAAGCTAAGTTCCAGAAAGAATAAGGACTGTGGTAATTCTTGTTATGCATGGTTTAGAATTTAATGCTCTAGAACTGTGGTCAGCAAACTGCGGCTCTTTGGCCCTGAGTGCAGCTCTTCCACAAAATACCATGGCCTGGGCGAGTTTATTTTGAAGAAGTGGCGTTAGAAGAAGTTTCAGTTTTAAAAATTTGGCTCTCAAAAGAAATTTCAATCGTTGTACTGTTGATATTTGGCTCTGTTAACTGATGAGTTTGCCGAACAGTGCTCTAGAAATCTCAAAAACCAGTGGCTTCTACCAGTTAGAGGAAGAAAGAATGTAAACAAATTATAATTCAAGAGACTGATCCTTAAAAACCAACCAACAAACAAAAATTATAGGATTTTTGCATCATGTTAATATCTTTTGCCTGCCCAGGCTTTACCCCAGGTACCCCCAAACTCAGAAAACATCTTACACTTTAATATTAAGTTAGGAAGGTGAAAGGAAAATTCACCTAAAATAGACTAGTGGATTATGCTCTCCACCATATAATCAAAACCACCAGGCTTTCAATGGATACATAAACATGTTTTGGTTGCTAGGTCTTTAATGGCTGTTATTTTTGGATTCTATTCATGATCCACTTCCCAACAGTAAGTCTGATGTGACACAGCTGAGTTCTAAATATGCTGTCTGTACTTTTTTTAAGAGATGGCTGCTAAAGGTTGTGTTCTCTGCATTCTTATCTGAAAAGACAGGTGATACGGCTTTTCTCTGTTGAGACTCTCTTTCTCTTGAGCCTCATCACCTTCATGAGGAGGAATTCAGGGAAAGCAATATTCCTACTGATACCTCTCTGTGGACTGCGGCAGAAGTGGTAGTTAACAGAGCTGCCTCCAGAGAATGGGTTGGTGTTGTTAAGGCAGTTGTGCCCAGATTCCGTGTGACAAAGGACTGGTTAAAGTTGAGTTGAATGGGTTTTTTGATGTGATGGTTAAAAAATAGCATATTTGGGGGGGGGAGTAGATTTATAGTTGTTTGTATGGAAAATACTACACTAATAAATAAATTATAATACAAAGAATAACCTCTGTGTTTTGCATATCATAACTGTAAACCTACTTTTGCCAACCGTTTATTTTAAAAACGTGACTATAAAATGGCTTTGCTTGTGTGTGAGTGTTAAATAATAGAAATACAGTTTGTGGCTGAATCCAGCAAATCTTGAGATTTTGTAATGCTTTAAGGGGCACTTTTATTTGAAGGTGGATTATAAAGTAGGAAAAATTACTATGTATTGGTCAGTAGTCTTGGATTTGAGATATTATTCCATGAGGATGCAGTTAGATAACATACCTTTTGGATGCTTTTTGTCCAATTCTTATTTCCAGTAGTCAACCAATTTCATATTTCAATACCTCCTCTCAAGCATAGATACTGTATTACATTACAAATTTTCATATTCAAGTAGACTTTCTGGTTATCGTAATCAAGTCCCTGAGCAGAAGCTGATCATATAAGCTTATTACTCTTAAAATGACTGTTTCCTTAAAAATGAACACATTTCTATGAAGAGATACTATTTAATGGATAGTATGATCCTATTAGTCATTGAGAAAGGTTTCTGTAATAACTACTCTGTATCAATGCTGTCCTTTTAAGGAAAAATCCTTTGCTTGTTTCTCTGTCCAGTGTGACCTGAGGAGCTGCTGCTCTTCCCTCCCCTGAGGGTGTCTACCTAGAGCTTTTCTTCTTCCAGAGGACAGTTAGGTACAAGTTGGGGTTCCTACCTGTCTGAGACATGGAATATAGCTTGCTCATGGAACTCGTGTTTTCCCTTTCTAAAGCCAAGAATAACAGTGGAGCCCTAGTTGTGGTGGGATTGAGGGCAGTTCCTTGTACCTCCTTATCTTGTCATATAGTAGGAAAAATGTTTATGATGCTGTAGTCCTGGCTTCACTTGGCATTTAACCAACCTCCAATGCTGTTTATTGCTTCGTATCCTCTGCCTCCATGAACATTATCCCTTAAATCTCTATTGCCTTGTAATATATGAGGCAACAAATAGCTTCTATGATTGGTTAAATGCTGGCATGCTACAAAGGTATATGTTTTACTGCCTATATAACACAGATCTAGAGAGATTATTTCTGTTATCCCAGCCTTCCCATTAAATGGGCCATACTGATACTATGGGACTCTGGATTTTTAATTCTATTCCTTTGGCAAGTTTCACTATTAACTGGCATTAGCACAAAAGAAAGGCAAGGAAGAATGGGTTGGTGGTGATTACTGATTTTTTTATATTCAGGGAGCATCATGAATTGGAGAATAACAAGGGAAAAATGGCTCTGATAGGTAAATGCCATTTATGATGGTATATGCTATCTTTACATGCTTCGACAGGTGAGGGCAGTTTCAGGCAAACAAAAAGCCTTTCTTCCTCACCCTCTGCCAAGAGTTTTAAAAAAATTCAAATTTTTATTTAATAATTCATATTTCATTCAATAATTCATCCAGTTCCCATCTGGTAACAGTGCCTGCATGCTGTCAGGCAGCTGAAAATACACTGCATTATACACAATTAGGCCAAATGCTAACCTTGTTTTTTGTAATAATATGTTGATTTTGCAATAGCTTTCAGTTCACTCTGAATATGCTGTAGTTTTATGTAACCTTGTGATGGAAGTAGACCACTGTTCTGCTTTGTGAAGATAAAATTGGG